GAGTTTTACGGCTCTGGCCTAATTGAATTAAAAGCAACAATCCAGGAACGAATTCGCGGGTAAGGACCACCTATAATGACGTTGCAGGTGAGAAGTTGGTCAATGGAGATAGAAAAAGTAGAAAAAAACGTCGGGCAGGGGCTTAGACAGGGACTCCCCCTGCCGTTTAGGGAGACGTGTGTTGGACGAGTTGTCCGAACCTGCCCGTAGTACATGCGCTCCAATTGACTGCTGGCAAATAGCCATGCATGCTTGCAAATACATAACTATTTGCCAGCAATCGAAATTGAAGCGCTTCAATTGGGTTCTTATGGAATCGACCTCATACAGCGCGGCGGTCCCGCAACGACCGCTAGTCGAGCAAGCGCTCTGCACAGCGTATGTTGGGCGATCCGCCTCTTTATGGGTGATCCGCCCCCTCCAAGAGGACTTCGACCCCTTCCAGCGCATTTTAGAGGTAGGTTTTGAACTTAAAGACATTTCCTATAAACTTTAGTTGGGCTGGGGCATGTTTTGACCGCCTAATGACCAAGTAGTTGAAACCCTGCCTGGACTGTTGCTTTAACCGGTTGACCAATTGTCGCACTTGAAATAGCGTATTGGGTGGGGAATCTCTTGTGCCTGCTGGGGATTTTGAGGCGCGCGAGCCTTCAGGGGGACAATCCCACGCCTGCCAACTTTTTTCTTGTTGTGGAGCTTGCCGTAGTTTACCTTAGGTACGATGAACGTACATATCATGAAAGAGGCAGAGAGCATGGTTAAACAGTGATAGGAGAGATCGCTCCGTGGATCGAAGGCTGCCGATGACCGACCACGTCCTCTGCCTTCCAGTTGTTTGGGCAATATGCAGTGACTAACACCTAGTTATCACGGGGGTTTATATGGCTTCATGCACCACACTAGCTGTGGCATAAGATTACCTAATGCTGAAGAAAGCGTATCAAATCAATATTCCTCTCAAGTTTTCCAACTTCTAGTGTCGAGTCATAGTAGTGATGCGATAGGTTTTGTCAAAAAAATCTTGTTCTTGAAAAAAGATCATCCCGGTAAAACAATGAGATTTTTGTATCGCCGCTACGAGACAATTAGCCATTTTGCTGATGCTCCGAATTACTACACTGCTCTGGTAAAGCAAACAGTAGGGTGGGTGGTATCTGCGCTGTGGTTTTGCCATGCGGAACATGCCTCCTGAATTTCGACACCTGTCGTCACTAGCGTCCACAGCTTGAGGCGAAACTGGTCGCCACTTTGCGTCATAGGCGTCTTTTCGATGACTACCGTATGTGGGCGAGTGTGTGTTTTCGCGGAAAGGAATTTGTTGTTTATCCAGTCTACATTACGTGCGGGTGAAAACTATTGCGCCGTATATGGGTTGTTGGACCGGCTGAGAAGAAGCGAGAGGTGAGATGATTTGAGGCGCGAGGGAAAGGGAGGGATGTAGTCGTTTGTTGATTGTTTTGACACGGACACACGCTGACTGGCCGGCATCTTGGCTGTACACCACGAATACGCATGCATGTTGTCTGTGACGCTCTCACAGCAGTCAACTATCTCCTGACGAATAACTACTGCTAATTTGGGCCCTGGTGCGATTAGTGGGCGGGGTGTTTGTGTGCATGGAGCTTTTGCAAGCGCTATCTAGTTATTGAGAGGTGCATTACCGATTATCATTGGGCTGGGAGTCACCATCCGGCACCGTCGTCGTCACCGTTGACTGAGCAGGATTCCTCAGCGCTCGCTGAGTAAGACTGTTCTCAGAATGATTCAGGTCTTCTGAAAGCGTCGTAATGTCTACTGGCTATCTTGGACCGCAACAGTACCTTCAAGAGACAGTTTGGAGCCTGTTTTACCTTAGTCGTCGGTTTCGCGTTTCCAGCAGAAGCTGTCGGCCGTTCAATAATAGCACTTGTGAGAGAATCAAGTAGCTGTACTCAAGTACGTCGCCAGTTAATGGAAATGATGACGAGGCATGCGAAGACTGACGTCACTTGTTGGCGTCATGTGTTCGCAGACTTTTTCAGCTCAGCCAGAACGCGAAATAGGCCGTAGATATAGATAGATTGTAGATGGTGATTTTCAGTTTTTCACCCGCAAGGGATAGCCTGCAAATCGTCGAAAAAGTACTACAAACTCTTGAAATGAAAATGAAGGATTTTTGATAAAGTCATCTTTGTCTTTTTCTAGGCGCTCACAGATTTGTGAGGTATCACCACTTCAATTGAATCTATTTTTGCAGGGCCCGTTCATCCGATCAAGAGGATAAAGAGCGAGCCATTCCCGGTGACGAATGTGCCTCAACCGGTGATGTCACCGTTCCCACCTCCACCGGGTTCCGCTCCCATGGGAACCGCGCCGCCGTCAATGATGAGCCCTTTTGCTGCTAGTCAAAGGTTGGTTAACTATTTCCAGTTTATTTTCAGGGAGTAACGAATAAATTGAAATCATTTCTTCCCTAAAAGTAGTGCAGATTAGAAGCAAAAAAATCTATGTTCCATATTTCAGCCCGTCTAAGGCGGTTTCCTCTCCGGCTGGCGCCCGTTTTGCTGGTGGTCCCGGCACACCTTCTACGCCGCATGCTGCGCAGAATCCTGCGTCCGTTGGCACGGCGCCAACTGCCGTCTCACAATCGGAGCCGCTTCACAGCACCAGCCCGCATCAAACGCAGATTCAACAACATGGCAGCGTCGAAGCGCCATCATTAACTGGTACGTAATTTAAGGACTTTTGTGTAGAATCGTGCACTTTCGGTGCAACCATGCTCACCGTTTTGAGACCAGTCGATTTGATGAATCTGCATGTAGGGCTACCACTTTGATATCTTTGATGTTCCAGACTTATGTGTTTTCCTAAAGCATAAGTGGAACAAGTGTGCCTTAACGCTCTCTGAGACCTTATCATTCGTTTGATACACTTACTCATAATTT